GGGGGCTCCAATCCCATGAAAATAAAACCACAAAACCGAGACCTTGTAGCCATGTTGGTTAACATGACAAAAGACATCAAGATCAAATCTTTATCAAAAGTCAACTAAAATGACGGCTATGTATAGTCACATTATTTATTTTATATATATTATTATTTCATAAAACACTTTATACAGGGTTGTCCCATCTCTTATAATCTAAGTTAATCCAATTCTCTCTCTGCTCCTTTAATATGTATGACAATCATGTGTTTGATGTTACTCACCATGACTGGGTTTGACCGATGTCCTTCTAAAGCACTCGTCACTCTTTGAACCAAAATATGATTCAGTTCTTCAGTTGCGTCTTCGTTGTTCTTGGTTAGCAAACATAGCAGGTGGCGAACATCGGCACGCATCTGCGCTGTGCCTTGATGAAGGTTAAAGTCTACCAGCTCACGAATAAGGCCCTGCGATAAAAATAATAAATGCAAGAGAAGCAAAATGATAAGCAAATATTGGATGAGGCTGAACATGTCAAGTTCACAAACTATAGAGCATTGGCTGAATGTGTGCAATGATTTGCTACGTTCACTGAATCCGCTTCTTATGCTCAGCAACTAACCTTGAGTGCTGATAAGTTCTCACCTGTTCAACAAGTCGCTGTCGTGTTCCAGGAGACATAGCCAATGCTCGCAGTAAGGTGACACAGTGTTCAGTAGCAGCTGAGGCACAGCCGTAACACTTCCCTGGTACTACAGAAGTACTGGGTAACAGAGACAGAGAACGAGGCAGGGAAGGACCTGAGGACGAGTGCTCAATTATGTCTTCATCTGACTGGCTGATTGGTTTAGCCAATGGCTGCTCTCGCACACGACAGTCATACTCCAGTAGTTCCTTACGAGAAGCTAGGACTTTCTAAAGTATAACAACAAAAATAAAAGTCAAATATTCACCTATAACAAAGATTACTCTCGACGCGCAAATGTATACAAGCGATAATAAGCTTAAAACGTAGAAAAAACTGACCTGTATAATCTTACTCAGTTCATCAAAACTGGCCTTACATTCAACACAGTAGCGATAAGCCAGAGACTGAATTGCTTTGTTCACAGTTGAAGTGCTGTTTGTGTTGGACTGTACTGTACTGGAATAAGTAGATGATGCTTGCGAGGTTGGAGTACTCTGCTAAACAATGCAACATGATCGGTTAATTCCTTCTCTCTATAAGTTCCCTATGTCAAGTTCTCGTAAGGTAATAAAGTAGTAGGAATCCGTAGTCTAAGGCTTGCAGTAGCGTAACTAGATTCAGATGGCTAGGGGACACTAAATTTCGCCAAATTAGTAGAAACTTATTTCTATAGAGAACCAGTCATTGAGTTTTTCTTTTAACAGGAGTGGAATCTAGACTGTAAGCCTTGATACTTTCACAGGAATCTTAACCCTAGGGTATTTAATTCTGACCTTGGAGACCTCAGCATCACCATGTTCTAGTATTTTAGTCAATAACAGGTCCAGCGGTGTTCTGTATGAAGACAGCTGCCGGTAAACACGGTCAGCTCGCTCCAGGTATGAATTGATGCTGGCCACAGCCTGAAAACATATTGGAAGCGATACAACCGGTCACTCAGTTTCTCAAAAGCAAGACAAGTGACTGTTCAAAGTTTGAAGTGACGTTGCCCGTAACTCATCTTCATTTGCACATGCGCAACTACAGGTTTGATGTACGACAAGAGTATAGTGAAAGTGAATGTTAGTTTATACCTTCTTTCTGTCTTCTTCATTCTCAATGGGGTCCACGGCACAGCATGGTCTGGCTGTCAGGGTGTAGTCAAACTTGGCGTACTTACAAAATCCACAGGCATTACACAGGAAAGGGTCGCGTTCATCGTAGTTAATCGATCTGGAAAATGTACATGAAATGCTGAGCCTTTTCTTCATTCGATAGTAAAATAAATTAGGCAAAAATATATTCACTACATTGACTTTGCAACATCCATTAATGACTGTGCGGTGTTACAGAACCATTAGAAGTATGAATGACTACTTTTACCTACCTACACTTATGACATTGGTAGACATTCTCCCCACAGTTGCTGCACACTCCTGGATTAGCAGGAACTGAAGCGCTACAGCGAGGACACTGCAGGGTCTCGGATGACGCCTAAGTAGTCAAATAATTTTAAGATACATCAATAAAGATTTATATTCTATCCATGTAATCATTAATCTATTGGCATCCTTTCAAAGGATGGTCGTTGATATATGATGGATCAATAATTTATTATCTAAGTAATCTATATCTATATTATCTATAACTTATTTATTATTTGTTACTATCAAAATATCATTAATATAATGCTTCTAACCTGGAAGTTTTCATAGAAGTCAGAATACTCAATCATGAGATTACAAGCCACAATAGGAAGAGGAAAGTCAACCTGCAGATAACCATTAATCCTTGTTATCATTTATAAGAACATATAATATCATGTCATCAGATATACGAAATTAGATCATAAAATGTCACATGTTTACCCAAAGTACACTGATAACAAATTCATCTTGCTTGTAGTTATCTAAATGGCAAGACTTTTGATTTGGTTCCTAAATGCAATTCGATAATGCTCTGCAAAACGGGTTCATTACCAGTCTTTTTGGAACAGGATTTGATGTCAAATAAAACCCACATAATATACCTTGAGTTCAGTCTGGCCTGGTGTGAGATGACACTTCTTGGCTTCGTGCCAAAGTGGACGCCTAAAAGAATAAAGACTTCTGTGAGATATTACTTTTAGCTGATTAAATGGTCAAACAGATACATACTTGTTCTTCAGTTCAACAACGGACTGCACGGTGCGATTGTTGTAGTAGAATGTAATGGCGCGAACCTGCAAAATGCATAAAATATCTTTAAGGTGTGCTAACCCTAAGGAAAGGCAAATTTTTGATCCACATAGACAGAATGCCTTAGGTTTGCTTCTCTACGAATTTTGCTTTACCATCTTTTGTCTCTTCATATCAGCAATCCTGAGGGTAATACGAGAGATAGTATGGCTGCCTATCAGTTTGACCAGCTGTGATGTTGTGGTAAATCTGAAGTCTGCTTTGATGGCTGATAACTTTAGACTCTGAAAACGTTAAATTGTTGCGATTAATCAAAAGAAAATATGTTAATGTTTCATGATGATGATATCGAATACCAATGTGATAACAGTATAAGAAATTTTGTAAGTAAAAAGAATGTAATAATATAACAATGATAACGCTGATGACGATGATGAGTATATCATAATGATAATTGGGATGATGATGATGACGAGGATAATGATATTGATTATAGTAATAATAATGATGGTGATAATAATGATGATTTTGATTTTTGGATGATAATAATGATGGTGATGATAATGATAATGATGGTGATAATGATGATGATGGCAAAATTATGATGGCGATAATGATGATAATAGTGATGACAATGATGATGATAAAGATGATGATGATAATGATGATGACAACAACTAATAATAATTGAGATGTTGATGATAACTTTGTATTACCTACCTGAAATGGTACTTCAGGATTATTACAGACCAGACAAGGATCACTTTCCAGATAGTAACCATCAAACTCTACAAATCCAGACAGCATTCTGTAAAAAATGAATATAACAAATTAACAAATGATTTGAAATAACTAATTACTGCCATAACCCAGATGCCTCATAGTCATTATTACACTACTGGGCTCACGTCATACCTGTAGACATTGGAGTTTGAATGGTTTTCCAGAATACCATTCTGGGTCTTGAGAAGTTGAACTGCCTTCTCACTGTACTTTTCAAACTAGAACAGATAAACGTGAACAGTCATGGTGTGTTTATACTAATCAAGGTATTATAAAGTTTCACAAACCTTGCTTGTTTTAGAAGAACTCTTTATAGTAAAGTATCCCAAAAGGTCTACAAACTGTGCGGCTCGTCGGCCATAACCAGGTAATTCTGGCCAGATTTTCCACATCATATCAGACAGTTTGTCTTGCTGGTTTGGCGTGGAATACCTGGAAATATACGACAAACAATCAGAAATATTATGTTTCAAAAATACATTATGAGCCATGATCAAGTTACACAGGACAGGACAGGACAGGATTGGACTGTACTAACTTGTGAATCTTGAAGAGCAACTCATGTGCTTGCCAGCGAACTGCTGTAGAATTGGACTCAAGAAGAAAATTATGCACAAACTGATGCAGAATTTCCATATCTACAAACTCGTGTAGCTGCTGGACAAGACTTGATGCTGCAGCTAATAAATTCAAAGGAGAATACTCAGACCACATACCAGGATCAAAGTAAGCATTTACAGTACTATGACATAATTATTTGTTGCTTATTTACATTGCAATCACATTTATTTATTACAACATACCTTCATTCTTCCCATTCAGTTCATTTGCTGTTGAGAAGATTTGTTTTGAAATCATCAGTGAAAAAAGTTGAATTACCTTATACCTTACTTCACTACTTGTGATTCCTTTATGGAATGATCTGCCAGCTGAGCTCAGGCAAACTATCACTGCACCGTCCTTCAAGCGCTTACTTGGTAATCATTATTATGACAAATTTTTGTCTTCCTTTGAGACCACTAATACCTGTTCTTGGGTGACGAAATGCTGCTGCCCCAACTGTAGGGCTTAGCCATTTATTTACTAGTTACCTGTTCGATGTTTTTTTAAATTTTAGTTGGAGACTATCCTATAGGTGGAATGTGACCTGTCTAGTTCTCCGCAACAGCTTAACTGTTGGAAGTTTAATGAATAAATAAATAGAAAATAAAAAATTATCTCAAACAAAAATGAGATTCAAATCCAAAAACATGCTTGTTCTTAAAATGTTACCTTTTTCCTTCTCCTTCTCTTTGTCTTTGTCTCGTTCTTTTTCTTTGTCTCGTTCTTTTACTTTCTCTCGGTCCTTGTCCTTTTCTTTTCGACCCTTATGAGGAGAGGAAGCCTGGGCTTGACTTTTGGATCCACAAATGGCATAAGACAACAGTTGAAGAATGAGGGGAGCAACACCTTCCTCAAAGAGAAAACTGGCTTTCAATAGGAACGACAGAGCACCTGAAAAAAGAACACTGCTGGTCAGCATTCTCTCTCATAACAACAATATGAAGGGTACCCTCCAGGCCACAGCAGGTCTTCTTATATTACATGTATTCTTTGCTTTCTTTTCCTGATAAGTATATGGTCACAGTAAGCTAGTCAGCTTCTTGCCTCCTTGCATAGACTGGTGGGTCCACAACAACCAGCTTAAGACACCTTATCACAAGCTCATGTTCCATTATGAGTTTTTAAAAGCTGAAATGAAATTAAGTAAACGTGTATTTTACCAATCTGAGAGAGGTCTATTCTTTTTGCTTACTTTTATCTTGGATACAATAAGCCTGCCAGTTACTAATACGACTGGATGCAATCTCTGAACATGCTTTAAGGTGCTCAATCTGAAAAAAAATCCAACCAGATTAGACATGCGTTTAATTGACATATAAAATGCTGTCAAATGGGTTTTCTATTGAACCAATCGGTATGCACAAAAATTAATCAGATAATACTTGAAAAAAAAAAAAAAACAAACAAAAAAAAACGGGCTTACCATTGTTATCAATGAATCATATGATAAGACGATTGGAAGGTTGCGAGCACTGTCTGGGTCGAAACCACCTTGACTACTCAAGGACCTAACCAAAAACGAAAACAAAAAAGTATATCATTTGAACTGTCTTAAGAAATGTACATCATGCAAAATGAAAAAAAGTTTTCTACCTGACGGCATTGCAGTGGAAGTCAAGAGCATGCAGATCACGCTGTTTACGATAGCTGTCCTTTGAACCACACAGGAACAGTAGCAACTGCCGATGGAAAACAATATAAATAAAACACTAGAATATCAATTCATTTTTTCACCCCTCTATATTTAGCTAGTTAAGATTCACATACCTTTCGGACCTGACGTCTTACAAATGGCGTCTGCTGTACCATCATATACTGGATTAACAAAGAAACAAAGATTAATAACCTTAAAAGTGGGCTACCATCTTTTCTTCAAAGCATCATGACACTGTAGGTAGTCAAGGAGACCTACCTCAGATAAATAGTACATCCATTCCTCGTTAAATTCTGGTGATTTGAATTCATCACTGCTGTCGGTAACTTTCTTTACCTAACGAAACAAGTATGATGAATAGAGAAAAGAAACCCAGACAAAAAAATAGAAAAACAACATGAAATGAAACACAGTGTAATGAATGGGAATATTAGTCCCATGCTAGGTACTATCATCATGATATGAAAACTGAATTTAAAATGGATATAACATACATCATGAAGTACATTGGTATTCACATAATATTGTATAAATATTACAGCAATATTACAACCCGTTTTTTATGTGTTTCCCACGACTCATATCAAAACCACTCTCTTTAGTATTTGAAAGTAAAGGACTGTGTAAAACTAACATACTTGGTATGGAAGGCGCAGAACCATTTCTGTGAGAAGCTGAGGATAGGATTCGAACAAATCGCCTGCATGGCCCTGTTAAACCAGAATCAGTTTTGTTAATTCATTCCATCACCAATCAGAATGGCAAAACAAGGCATGGTTATGCATAGTAAGGGGTCGGTGTCCACTGGTAGAACGAAGCTTGGGATTGGGCAAAACAACAAAAACAAAGAAAGCATGGATTATGGTGAACAATGTGTATTGTTCTACATGTGAGCTGCGTTCTTTGTTTTATCTCACCATTCATTGTTTGTTCATCCACTCCCAGGCTTCGTTCTGCCTGTTGTGTGTTACCCATAGTAAGAAAGGCCTCATTTACGACCCTTCATTATGGTGATCATCATCATCTTCATTTCCATTACAGGGCCGTAGCCACCAATTTCTGACTGGTCCGGTTTCAACCGGACCAACTTTCGGGAAAAAAATATGAGAAAAATATTTTGAAAATGTAAGACAGACTGAAAACCCTTGAAAACCGGACCAATCAGAAATTTGTGGCTACCGCCCTGCATTATCATCACCTTCAATATCTCCATGATCACTATCATATCACAATAATCATAATAGAAAGCACTATTACAGTTGTGTGCTGTTAATGTGCCACTTGTCATTTGAGGGTTCTTCTCCAAGTTCTCTGATTTTACTCTTGATTGAAAGTTTGATTTCTTAATGTTACCATCTTCTTCAATATAACACTTACCTTGACATACTGTCTGAGAAAGAAGGGTGACATGTCAGGGGGAGGACTGGCAGCTTGTGGCTTCAGTAAAGCGCCACCTATATTTGCTGTTTCTTCCTATTAAACCAAGTAACATCAAGCAAATTAATATGTGCATAGCTTAGTATGCATTTCATTGATACCTGTGTGAGAAACTGGAGACAAATGATAAAAGGAATGAAAAGAAGGAAAACGGTGAGTCATACAATCAGCTTGGCCTTTTGTTTTAATACCTCATCTTTCTTTGCCATTTTCTGCCAGTGACTCAAGAGGCACTTGAGTATTTCCAGACAGTGCTGTACAATGCCTACTGTACAAAGACTGTTTGCAGTCTTACTACACACTATTGATGATGCCTGTGTACAACAACACAAAGAAACAGTCAGTCAATGGAGTACAAAACTATCAAATAAGAGGTCCAAACATTAGTGTGGTTGTCCCTTTAATACATGTGAACAAAGTACAGAAGCTGGAGGTTAAAACTAAACTAACCTCTGAAGCAAGTTTTGCTGAAGACTTTGTCTTGGACATCAACACACTGAGAAATCTCATCACAATCAGCTGAACCTCGTGCTGTTTGGTGCGCTCTGACATTTCCTGGTAATTCTACACAAAATGAAATTTTATTTAACACTGCATCAAAAAAAAAGAGGCTCATTGAAATAAAAATGACAATTTAAGTTAACACATTATATTTACCCTTCTCTCGAGGCTCAGTTCTTTGAGGCATTTGTCAAGAACGATGTCCAACGCTGCAATATCTTTGTCATTGTCTTCCAGATCAGAACATAACATTAGAAGAACCTACAAATACAAGAGTCATTTAGCCCAATAATCTGACAGGCAAGATGTAGCGGGATAGGGTCAGGGTGGTTTAGTTTGGTGTGTATATTGTGTATTGTACGTTATACATTACTGTAGTGTATATTGTTGATTTGGTGTGTATATTGTATTATAGTTGTTGTATAATGTCATACTGTATGTCACAGTTGGTTCGTTGTTGATATTGTATGTTATACATAACTGCAGCGTGTATTGTTGTTTTGGTGTGTATATTGTATTATAATTGTATTATGCAAGATACTGTATGTTACTGTTGGTTTGGTGTTGATATTGTACATTATACATTACTATATGCAGTGTGTATCATTTATTCAGTGTTTATATTTGTTGTATTTAATAGTTTTAACATCTTTTACTAACCTGCATGAATGGAATAGCCCTGACACCACCCACATCCTTCAGGTTAGGCAGGTGTGAAAGCAGTTCTTCTAGAAGAAGTAGCTGTAATGAATGACGAACATCATGATCATGACTGCTTTCCTCTTCCTCAGAATGGCCACACCCCCGCTGTTCATCACTGCAATGGCTGCTGACACTTCTTGGGCCATGTTCTGATACTGGAAGAGAAGAGTTTGTTATATATTGTCTTAATCGCCAGGATCATGATCTTTCATAATATTCACTATACCTGCTCGATCACCATCAATACTTGTTGTTGCAACACTAGATCCAGGCTCCACAGTAATGGAATCAGCACTACCACCACTTTCAGATCCAAGCCCCTGCTGAGCAATTCCTGGTGGTATGGGGGATCTTGGAGCACTGTGCCCTGCAGAAGAACCTTGAGCACTACTTGGTGGAGCGTCATATTCATCCTCACTGCCCGCTGCTACAAAATGACCAAAGATATTGAGTATGGATATTTCCATACAAATTCTCATATAGGAAACAGAGAAAAATTAACCAGAAAATTCCTTCATTAGTGAGGCAAGAGGATAAAGCTGATTTGAAAAAAAAGCATGTCTTGATTGGTCCAGTGGTCAATGTCATACTGTGAGTGTCCAGTAATTTCTCATTCATAGACTGAAGAACTCTTATATAAAAAAAATCTAACATATATACTTTAACAACAAACCTGATGCAGTGTTATCAGAGTAGTTGCCACCTTCTAATGACAATGAGCTCTGACCCTGTGATAGCCCTTGTAACTGTAGGCCAGAGGATTCTACTGACTGCTCCTGAAGACTCAGTGCTATTGCAAGCTCCATCATTGCCTCATCGTCAGCATCCTGAGGAAGATCTAGCACAGCTGGTAAGTTACCTGCTGCCCCAAGAAGAAGGGATTCTAACTGGCTTGATCGTGAGGAACTGGATGCACCACCAGATGCTGCACACTAGGGATGAAAGAATAAATGGTTTAAAGTGCCTCTCATCCCCTCATCCCTAGCTTAACTTAACGACTAGGCATTATTAGCAATACAGTTTTAGTATTGTTATATACCTGTGATGGTCCTGGCTGGGGCTGAGTAGCTGCTTGTGCTCTATCTCTTTCTGTTGAACTCTGTTCTTCCTGACCGGAATCAGATCGCTCTCCTTCACCTTCATCATCATCACCATCGTCATCTTCTGGAGATATCCTCTCACCTGATGGTGTTCCAGAGCGAGGTAGTGTTTGACCTTCTCTGTCACTTCGCTTTTGTAGTGGGTGAAGAAGTCGTAACAGGGCTTGTTTACATGAAAAACTTATAGCTTGGTTCTAAAAATACAATTATATGAAGAAAAGAACCAATGATTTAATATCTGGGTTGGTAGCAATGATAATTGTGGTTACAATGGAAACATCAATACTAAAAATGCTAATGCTTTAAAAGGCTTTGATGAAGCTACACTGATGTTAATGATGATGATTAGTCAAATATAAGTAGTATAGGGAATGGGGGTTCTAGCGCAGTGACCACACGAGGATTTCCCGTTTAAAGTCACTAACCCGTGTTTGCGTAGCCCTCATTCCCTATGAGACCCCCAGGATTACCCGTGGGGGTAACAGCGCACTCGAAATATGTTAGTTTACGCCAGGATTACCCGTGAGGGCAACAGCGCACTCGAAATATGTTAGTTTACGCCAGGATTACCCGTG